GATGGTGACTTCAAAAATGTTCTAAAATAAGTCTTGAATTGTAAAAAAACTTATTTAAGCTATAACAGATCGTTTTAAGAAGCAATACTGGTAGTCTCTAAACTCTACTTACATACGAGAAATAAGTTAAAAAGTAGTTAGCCAAACCATCTAATTTAGATATTTTGACTATTCCACTAATATTAGTACTACTGGCGATATACAAAGGCCATACAAGTATTCACTTTTAAGCAATATAATACTTTAATGGCATTGCTTCTTAAGACGATCTATAATAGCTTAAAAAAGATTTTTTTACAATTCAATTAAGTTTTATCCAATTTTTTTGCTAATTTACGAATTTCATCCGTAACGTTTTTGCTCTATCGGGATGTCATTTTCACCATATATATATTGCTAAAACCAATATGGAGGGTCTGATCTGCTTTAAATTTGATATAAGTTTATTCATGAATGTTTTAAAATCACAGTTGTCATAATGAAGGGATTGTTGTGACTAGATTTCCACACACTCCTTTATGAATGTGCCTAAAAATATAGTAATATTCACTCAATCAAATAAAAACACTAAGCTTTTTCCTTATAGTGAAAAAGTAATATGAGATCTATTCACCCTATTACGTTTAAGGTGATAAATGAATTTTCCCAAAATGATCCGAGTAGAGCTGACGTTTCTAATGAATTTCACATAGCTTTGCTTTCCCATAAAGTATTCTCATCCAGAATGGACTGGAGTTAAGGTAAAACTCTGTGAAATATTTTGTCAAAAGAAATCTAGGGATTATCCCATAGATAGAGAAAAGAGCAGCAATTAAGCAGCAATTGTATCGTACTCTCCCATACAAGAAATATACCATTTTCCTGAACTGAATTTCATCACAAACAAAAGGTTTATGATTCACGGAAAGTTTTTATTACCTTATAATCAAAATTAAAATATTTATACTTGAAAGATAAGGTAAGAAACATGAATCGTGGTTCCTCGGTATATTCCTCATATAATATTATGTGCTAATTAGAAATGGTGTTTTTATTTGATTGAGTGAATTTAACTTCATTTTTACGTAAATTCATAAAGGAGTGTGTGGAAATCTAGTTATGACAAACCCTTCATTATGACAACTGTGATTTAAAACCATTTATGAATAAAGTTATATCAAATTTAAAGCAAATCAGACCCTCTGTAGTGGTTATAGCAGCATATATAGAGTGAGAATGACATCCTGATAAAGCAAAAAAATTATGCACGAAATTTGTAAATTAACATAAAAACTTGTAAATAACTTTATTTAGCGAAAATTAAATGACTTACTTGGTCCAGCCCTTTTCACCCTTCTTTTTCTTTTCTACTATATACCCAGTGACAGGCCCTTTGCTCGGCGGATCCCAGGAAAGAGTAACTGAATCGTCGGTAGTATCTTCAACCTCTGGCTTTTTCATCCCACTCGGTGGATCTGTAATTTCAATTAAACAACAGCCATTTAAAAATTTAGCACCATCATCCGGTATATGTAATAATATGGAAGATTTTGCAGACTTATTTTCTCATAATGTTATAATAAACAATGTTACATCAACTCACCAAATGGATGCTTGGGTTTAATGGCTGAAGTCGTCATGAGGGGTTCGCCAATTCCAAGTGTATTTTCAGCCATGACGCGAAACTCGTATTCTCTACCCTCTTCAAGGTTGCGTATAGTGGCTTGGGGTGTTGCGAGAAAACCACTTACCTTCTGCCAGCTATAATGTCGCGTGAAAAACAATTGATAGATGACAGATTATTAGGGTTTGGCCAAAAGAGCTAAAAAAATGGAATATTTAATGGCTTCTCACCATCTGCTACATGGGTAAGCACTTTAAATAAGTTAAGCTTGATAATAGTTCTCACCTTAATTGCATATGATTTACAAATTATTAATTTAATATGTTTACAGGCTACCGTAAGGTCTCTTCTAACAAAGAGTCACAAGCACTCAGCATTATGCTGGCATTAATGAATTAATTTATTAAACTTTCGGAAAATGCACACAAT